TCAGCTGATTTAATTACTATACAAAAATAAGGCATCTCTTCATTTCTTTATTCCTCTTAGGTCGGAGAGCTATAGAGCTATTTTCTTTAGATTTAGTGCATTGATGATCGCCAAATGTGAATGAAGATGTCAAAAGGTAGTAGGTCTTTTTTTCGTGCTGTCCACTCATGCTGTCTAGGCTCAAATGATTTTAATAATTAATATGTAGAAGTAGTTGTAAAGTCTGGTATAGTGTCGTCAACAGTATTGGTGTCTATAGCCAGTAGTAACTGTTTCGTTGATTGTTTCCTTTCCGATGTCAGTAGGTGTATCCAAAATAGCTTATAAATATATATATATATTATAATGTTATTTCAGCGACAGCACTTTAGAAAACATACTTCGTTCAGCTTCGTTTAGGGGAAGGTTATTAGGAATAGGTAAACCATGTTTATCGAGATAATGTTGAAATGGTCTGGTGATAACAATTCCGAGCTTATGGACTTTGTTACGTTTTTGGCTATATTCTCAAACAATATTTTTGTTAACAGTCTCCTCGTAAAACTTGTACAATTAGAACCTTTGTATATTCTGACGCTTCAAATAATCCTTCGTAGTGTAACGTCCCCCGGCTGGACAGCGATAAGTTTACGGACTTACAACACTATAATCCAGGGCTCAATCCTTCGCGGTAAACACGGCATATAGCCTAATGTGGCTTTGCTCTAAATAAACAAACAGACAAATCTTAGCCTAGTTTTCTAGTAACACGCTATTTACTACCTGACGAAGGGCTTATGCCTGAAACGTCGTGCAAAATAAAACAAAATTCAGATTTTATTTATACGTGTTACTTTATCATTTATTGTCTTTTCTCCGAATCGTTTCTCCTCACGTCTTGCGCAACAACAGTCATTCAAGACTACTGTAAACAACTGTTACTTTTTCTATGATCTTCACGTGCATGTTAGAGATAGCACAATAAATCAATGGTACACAGAAACACAAATTAAAATAATGGGTAGATCCAACGAATTGGTGAAATTGGAACGACAGTCAAAATAATTTAAAACTTCTCTTTTATTTTGAAGATAACTGGCGTCCTGCAGTCAAGTTCACTTTGAAACATTCTGATGATGATCCTAGACGTTTAAATTACGATTGAGAACGATAAATTAGTGACCAAGCTTCATTGAAAATATATTATATTTCATTATATCTCACTACATTCATTCGTTATAGGTTAAGTGTGCTTGTATTACCTGTCAAGTTACAATATTTTTTTACATAAGGATTATAACGCAGTAAATAAACCTGCGGATAGGTTAATAATAGATTATTACCCTACATACTTTGTTGGTAATACCACTAGAAAGTATGAAGAAAATGAATACACACAACAAACAGAGAATACAGTGTTATATCAATGTTTATTTGTTTGTTTTGAATTTCACGCAAAGCTACACGAGGGCTATCTGCGCTAGCCGTCCCTAATTTAGCAGTGTAAGACTAGAGGGAAGGCAGCTAGTCATCACCACCCACCGCCAACTCTTGGACTACTCTTTTCCCAATAAATAGTGGGATTGACCGTCACATTATAACGCCCCCACGGCTGAAAGGGCGAGCATGTTTGGTGTGACGGGGATTCGAACCCGCGACCCTCAAATTGCGAGTCGAGCGTCCTAACCACCTGGCCATGCCGGGGCCGTTATATCAATGATGGGTACAAAAAGAAAGAAAGAAAAGAAACATCACAGTTTTAGTTACGGCTTACATTAGCCCAAAATTCTCCACAGGCTGTAAGTTTTGATATAAGAATGGCTGAACAACTTGGTGAAACTTTCAAGAATGTATTGTTAAAATGAGCATCTATCTATCTATCTATCGATATACTAATAAAACTCCGAGATTGTTTTTTGTTTGCTTGTCTGTAATTAAATACAGCCAAAACGGCACACAATAGTGCCATATTTGTAAGATATGGCACTCCCCTGAAATGAGAATAGAAACAGAATAAAACAAGTTTTGTTAAAATCGGGCTACGGGTTACCGAGTTAGCGTTTTTCGAGTAACTTTTGTGAAAATTTCTAGCACGAGTAATTTTACATCACACTACCGTTCGCGCTCTTTATGAAACTTTTTCGTTCAAATCTATTTCCCTCTCAATGTTCCCATCTTCAT